CACTGTTTAAGCCTGTCAAAGTTCAAGTAAATAAAGGATGCTTTTATGGTTTTAAAGATACCTTTTGGAAAATAAGTGTGGAGCACTCTCTGTGGACTCTGATTTCTTCCCAGTGGTCAAGATGAAAGTTGGCTTCTGTACATAAAAACAAAGCACAGGCCTTTAATTTGTGCTGATTCCCTTGCTTCTATAATTCTGCTCCTCTGGACTTCTGGCCAGGGAGTGCGATGTATGGTGATAAAGAGCTCTCAGTTTAACCTTTGAACAGAAAGTAAGTATAGCTCCAGCCTCAGTTCGTGAGGATGAGGGACAGGCGTTCTGCTGTGTTTGTAAACCTTTCGAATTCCCTTCGTACTTCAAAGCCAGGTTTGGGCTCTGCATAGCTGCGACAGAGCTTCTTCAGATTCCTAATTGAACTGCAAAGCAGAGCCCTGGGACGTGCAGTGCCGCAGAGGTGCCCTGGGCGGGGGGAGTTGATGCAGCCTGGCCAGCCACGTTGTGTGTAGGGGACCTCTCTTTTCCACAAGAGTCGCAGTGTGCAGCCGGGGCCGTGTGCTTCGGCCGAGGGTGCTCCTGGACAACCCTGCACACACAGCCCGGATTCCCCAGGCCACCCTGCGACTCCGTACTAGCCCGCGAACCGTCCATTCCCATTCTCCCCAGCCCTCTGTCCCCGTCCACCCCCTGCAATGCTCACCCTTTCTTGCAGAGAAGCTGAACCATACCACAGGGCTCTGCAAGCCACTCAGTCTGCTCAGGACTCCAGGAGCAATACAAGAATGCAATCTCTCCAGGAGCCCCTGCGGAAACAGGGGGCAGGGTGGCTTCCCTGCTTTATACGTCACCATTGATGGGCGACAGAGCGCAGAGCGAAGCAGAGACAGCTGGGTTCTCACCATGCCCGTAAGAAGGAACCAAGGCCTAGGTTCTGAGAAGATTCCTGAGAAGGAGGGCTGGAACCCAGTCTGTGGAGATGACAGTAACACAGAGGAGAGGAGAGGTCTTCTGAAGTTAGTCTTGGGACGACTGAGTGAGGATGCTGAGGAGGGAGCAGTAGAGCTGACCCGGCAGACAGCATGGGGAGGCTGGTCTGGGTCATAGCTGTGGAAAGACGATTACAACTCCACCGGAATCGAACGAGTGCTGACATGCATATTATGTGCAGCCTTCTTTTTGGTACCAGGGATCGAACTTGGGACCTTGCGCTTGCGCGGTAGGGGCGGCACCATCGAGAGCTGCATCCCCGGCCCTATGTGCAGTCTTGTTGTCGGGTAGCCCCTTCTGCAAGCGGCTCGCCAGTTAAACATGACCGGGTTCTGGGTTGCTTGCTTCTCCTTCTGGAGTTAGATTCCAAGTTCTTCTCAGCTCGAACAAAGAGTTGAATGAAATGTGCCGAAAGTATCGCAAAATTTATTTGAAAATGTAAAAGTGAAGAGAGACTGGCTCTGCAGAGTGATCTTGGGCAGGATAACAGAGGAAAAAGCAGGGTAAAAGAAGACCGTGGAGAAAGCAGGGCGGGCTTTGGCGAGGAAAGCCAGGGCAGCAAGCTCTTTGTGGTCTCTGTGTCCTTTCACACTGTCCAGATCTGGAGGAACCCGTGAGAGCTCCTACATCCGGGTCCTGAGAGGCGGGGCTGGGGTCCCACACCTTGGGCTGCCCTGGTCTCGCCCATCTTGTAGAAAACCCGCGCATTCTCGCGAGAAGTCCACGGGCAGGGCTCTGCGCTTGTGTCCGGGTCTTGTAATTAACAGGCCACGGCTCCTTCTCCAGCCAGCTCTGCAGGGCTCTAGTCGCCCGTGTCACATTTGTGAGCCATACAGGTGGTTGTGGCTCTGTATGTGGCTATAAGGGAATATGCACAAAGCTACTTGTTAAGAGTTCACCTTCATCTCGGGTAATCACATCTTAATCCTCAAAGACTCAGAAATGATCAGAAGACAGAGGCAGAGGCTGTGGTGATGCTGCCCCTCCCCCAAAGCTGCCCAAGGCCGCAGTCTGGAGGAGCAGGCCAGGCGTCTCCTCTGGGCCTTCAAGGAAGCGGCCCTGCTGGCACCTTGTCCAGGCGGGTGCCTGCTGATTAACTGTGGTGGTTTCTTGTGGGAGCACATGAAAACCTGCACGAGCCCCTCAAAACTCTCCAGGCGGTAGTGGTCTTATTTCTGTTCCCATAGGCGATCTTAAATTAGAACAATGATGGCGAACCTTTTGAAGCTTTCACTGATACAAGCAGCCTGCTGTGGCACTCGTGCATAGGTTCGACACCACTGATATAGAACATAGTTTTTCTGTGTCTTTGGATTCTTTTAACCAACGTAACATTTGTGAATCGCATTCATGTTGTGTGTATCTGTATTTTCATCCTTTTAATCATTGAGTTAAACTCATAGCATGCATATTCAATTTCTCCAACCCATTCATAGACATCTAGGTTTCCCTCCTCACGCTTTTATGTTTATTGCACCTGTTTGTAGCAACCACTGGTTTAGAAGTTGTGTAATTCATTGTTGGTGTTGTAATCACCTTAAAGCTATAGGAATATGTTTTACTTAAAAATTCAATTTCTATCAACCGTCCTTGTTAATGCAGAAAATTTGAATGCCTCAATTTTGGCATCTCCTTACATCTTCCATGTTATTCCTGTCAAATTTAAATATTTTCAAACTTTCAAAATTAATCATTATTTTGTAAAAATCTGTACTTTCACAGCTACAGCAGCATACTTCCCACTGCTGCAACCCTGTGGCTGATGCGTCTCTTTCTACTGGCGCCATTTTATTTTATCCTGTTTTGCAGTTTTTTCTTTTGGTGGATGCTTGTGTGTGTGTGTAGTGGGGAGGTGGGTGTGACAGAATACATTCCTTGTTTTTACTCTAACTGAAAATATTTTGTCCCCATTCTTAAACAAAATTAAGATGCTTGTAGAATTGTAATTTGACAATTATTTTTCTTCTCCTTTTGAATATAGCATCCTCCTAACTGTTTCTGATGAGAAATCTGTCAGTCAAATCTGGACTCATTTGTAAGTAATCTGCTATTCTTCCCTGGTTTGGCTCTCTTTTTAGAATAAATATGCGGTGTTCTTAGTAAAAGGACTTCCTTTTGCTCAGTTGGCCTGGGCCCAGCAGTTTTGTACCGAAGGCTGCTTGGTTTTGCATCTGACAACAGCTCAGCTCTGCCCTCGGAGTGCTGGGTGCTCACTCTCTGAGGCACTGGGTAACTTTGCACTGGCACTCTTTCATTTTGTTTCGCATGCTTCCTTTCTGTCTTGCTTTGTTTCTGAAGTTCTTTAAATATATTTTTTGGTTGTGTCACTTTCTGCTACTTTACTACTGAATTTGCCCGTAGAATTTTTTTCAGTTGCAGAGTGTTTCACCCTAACTTGCACACGTTGTTTCCTCCAAGTGGTCTGCTTCCTGCCTTCGTCTCATCACATTGCTCTGTGGACGGCCGTCACAGGGCTCTCAGCGTTCCTGTCACTCTCTGTCCTCACTGAGGTTGAGTCTCCCCATGGAAGTTTGCTTCTCATGTGATGACGATGTAGTCTTCCCTTGACAGTCCCAGGTCTCAGGGTTGCAGAAGCTTTTTAGCAGCTAGTGTTGCATGTTGTCTTCTTTGTAGGTTTTCTTGAGTCTGAACAAGATTTATGTTAGCTTCTTGAGTGCGGGGCTGAATGCTATGACAACTTGGACTAGGGTTTCATGCCCTGATGGCTGCCATGCTTGGGGTCTCACATCTCTTAGATGGTTTCCTCTCTCCACCATTCATCCTCTCTGTGCACTCTACCCTGGGTTGTAGTATTTTTCTCTAGACAGTTGGGGTAAGGGTTGTCTTAGCCACTTTCTCATCCCCGAAACAAAATATTCCAGGTTTGCTCACTCACAGTTCTCAGAGGGTTTGGTCCACAGCTAGCCCAAGGTGGGAAGGACGTGGCGGGGCGCTGGGGGATCTGCTCACGCTGTGGTGGTCGGGAAGCAGAGGGAGAAGGACGGAGCTGAGGAGGGAGATTTACGTGTCCATGCCACATTCCAGTAGCTGCCTGGCCTCCCCCGGCCAGCTCTGACCTTCTACCAGTGCATTCAGCTGTGGGTTCTCCAGTGGATTAGTCCACTAATGAGTAAGGGGTCCCGTGATCCAGTCACTTCCACAAGCCCTGCTCTGAGTGCCGGGATATTTGGGGAACCCTAGACCTAAACCGTAATGAGACTGCAGTACTTGCCATGGACAGAAAGCTGTCTCAACTGCTGTCCACACTAGAGAAGTCCATGTCAGCTCCTCACAGCAGCACCCTGTCCTGGATTCAGAATCCCGCTGTAAGGTCCACCTCTGCCTGGCTTAACAGCCCCAGAGCCCTTCAGTTCCAGCTTCGGGCCTCACCTGTGCCTCTGAGTCCCTCTTTGTCTGTAGTGGGTGTGAGTGTGGGTGTGGGTGGGTGTGGGTGGCACCCTCCTCCTTCTCCCTCCCCTTCCCCTCTCTCTTTCTCTTTCCCCTTTTCCTCCCCCCTTTGCAATGAGAAGAATACAGTGGACCCTCGAGTTATGACTAGCCTGACATATGAACAACTTGGGTTATGACCAGAATTTTAGTTTTAACTTACAGCCAAGGTCTTGAGTTAGAACCCAAATGTGGCCACTTGTGCTTCCATGGTCTCAGACACAGATTTAACCCTAAAGAGCTCTGGAAGGAACAGGACAGCATCCGCTCCTGTGTGGGGTTCACTGAGAGGTCCTGGGCCAGGGTCTCTCTAAGGACACTGAGCTCTGCCTGTGTGCAGGAGAGAGACTTTGAGGGCTGTGTGGAGGAGCCTGAGTCTTCAGCTGAGTTACAGCCAGCCCTTGGGAATGAATTGCCTTTGTAAGCCAGGTGCTCACTGTATCTTGTGCAGTATCTCTCCATGAGAGGAGTGGAAGCCGAGTGACACTCGTCTCCTCCCCATGGCATGCTGACCAGAGGCCTGATCGCACTCACCCCTGAACGTGCTTTTTGTCTTTGGTTTCTTTCAGCCAGCTACGTGTCCAACCCCGTCTGCAAGGGCTGCTTGTCTTGCTCCAAGGACAACGGATGCAGCCGCTGCCAGCAGAAGCTGTTCTTCTTCCTGCGGCGGGAGGGCATGCGCCAGCACGGGGAGTGCCTGCATGCCTGCCCGGCGGGCTACTATGGGCACCGCGCCCCGGACATGAACAGATGTGCACGTGAGCACGGCCTCCCTCGGTGCTTCCCAGAAGAGCTGTGGGCAAGGCTGGGGTGTGGGTCCATCGAGGTGGGCTGGAGCGGGGTGCAGACGCGGGCGCCACTCGCAGGGATGGGCGGGGCTGGCACACTTCTGCCTCAGCTCTGCGCATGAGTGCGTCTCGCAGGTACAGGCGTGCTTTACTTCTCATGTAGATCAAGTATTTTCAGCGTGAGGCTCTCCGCCACGCACTGGTCACTTACTCATTGCTTAGAGACAGCCAAAGCCGTCCACGCCAGACACACCCTGGGGGTCAGGAGCTTTCCATGCACCCCACCCTGTGGCCAGGCCAGGCAGTCTCTCCAGCTCTCTCTCCTGTGCCTGAGGTCACAATACCTGCTGGGGTCCCACCTGCAGCTAAATGTGTGCATTTTAGGTTTCTTTAAAGCACCATTACTGCTAAAATGTGACTAGAATATTTAGTTTATTTCAAAGCATTCTGAGTTCTAAGCTTAGCAACCATGCAAAATGCTAAGGAATGACATTTTATGCATAGGAATGAAGGTTCACCTGTTCATCTTTTAATCCAAAAATCCATTCTAGAGTGATTTTACTTTCTAAGCAGACAGTGGGAATTAGCGTTTCTGAATCCGTGGTCTTAAATCCCTCTCTCTCACATCTCCCACGCACATGCTGCACACCTGACTCTTCAGCCAGGATGGCCTCAGTTGAGAGGAGTTGAGGTTGCACTGACCAAGGACAGCATGGTTTTGGAAGGAGACAGAGCTGGCAGGGTGGTTAAGTAGAGTCTGGAAAGGGGGAGGGGCACACAGGTAGAAGTAACAATGTGTTTGCACTGAGTGCATCTCGCCGGGCTGCTGCCGGGCCTGCTGGGAAGGCAGTTCTGTTTCACAGGACTTGTCTTATATTGACAGCCACTTTGTGTCCTTGGTCCCTGTCCTTTGAAGGTATTTTGTGCCCTGAAATCATGGTGACAAGCAAAAATGTCCTCAAACATTTCCAGACGCCCAGAGTAGCAGAGCAGAGGCATCTGGATGAGAACCCTGGGCGGGCGGTGGGTAGAGCAGGAACAGCTGGCCGGAGGTGGAGAGGGGCTAGACACGGCTGGGAAGCAGAGCTGGCCCGGAAATGAGGAGAGCAGTCACCTGCTGGGGCTGTGTGTGAGGAGACTGACCGTCTGACCGAGCATGCACCAATGAGAGGCAGAGGGGGACCGGCACAGAGTGAGAGGGATGTGGAGCCACCGCAGGTGCAGTCTTGTTGGAGTAGAGTCCATGGGACTCGGTAGCCCTTGCACAGTGGGAAGAGGAAAAATCGGATTTCAGTCTAAAGTTTCTAGCTGGGTTGACAAGGTGGATGGTTTTTCTAGTAGCAGAGATAGGAAGATTTAGGGTTAGAGAGAAGTCTGATTGATATTCATTTCAGGGTGTTGCTTTGCACAACTCCAAACGAGGCTCAGTGGATTAGTTAGCTTTTGCAAAGATGTGCTTTGCTCTTAAGGTGTGTGACCTGGGCTTCCCAGCAGCATAGGAGGTGGGGTCCACCTTGCCCGGTTTCCTGTTCACATTGCTTCAGACCGCCTGGTGGGATTTGAACCCCTGGTCACTGTGTGCGTTCCAGTCTTGACCCTCAGTGCCCAGGAGAGGGCAGGGGTGGAGGCAGATGGAGGCAGCCGGGTGGCAGGGTGGGCTGGCTGTGCCTGGGCTGTGGGCTCGTCAGCCTGGCCCTGCCCTGAGCCCTGCGGGTGGAATGGGAGGTCTCCCTCCACTGGCCCAGGGCAGGGGACCTGAGCAGGGGCTGACAGGCTTGAATCCTCGGAGCTGCCCCTGTTCTCCTCAGTAGCGGGCACAGTGGCTGTGAACCAGCCTTGGAAAGCAAGCTGCCCAGGGCGCAGCCCCTCTGCCTCTCCGGCTGTGCTGACTGAGTGAGTGTAATCCACGCGGGGTTCACTGACCTGCAGGGAATCACTTCTTACCTTGTATGAGCGGGAAGTGCTCATTGGCAAGGCTCCTGTGAAGCAGAGGGAGAGTGGGCAACTGGTAACTCCTAGTCCACAGCTCTGGACAGCCATGGGTCTGCCGTAGTATTTGTTCTTTTCATAGACTCATCGCAATCACTGACACTTGTATCCCGTTTAGAGAAGGAGGAATATTGAAATCGGAAAAGCGGCCACAGATATAGAATCTAAAACAATGTCCAGTTTCTGTTAAGAGAAGATGATTATACCTTAAGCAACACTAGTTTGGAACACCTTGTAAGGAAACTGGCTGATCTGCTTCCTAATCCATACAGTAGGACTCCACATGGAAAGCAGTCATCTTTTTTCTAAGGACCCTTGTCTGTGGAAGGTTGGCTGAGGGCCGTGTCTTGGTCCATCCCATGACGCCTGTAGGACATGAGCCCTGCTGAGGCGGAGGTGAGTGTCCCTAGGAGGGCCCTGCGTGTGTGCAAAGGACACGGCAGCTGCCGCTGAGCACGGTGACATGTTGCTCAGCCTTTCTGTTTCTCACTCATTGGTAAGCTGATTTACGTTAGAGCTTTAGATTTTAAATTGTCGTACACATTTCCTAGTAGAAAGCTTAGAAGGTGTATAAACTTTAATAAAAAATAAATGTGAACCCCCAAATAAAACACACCTCCAAAATAACAAAAGCTAACATGTTGGCTATGATCTTTTATTTATTTTTTATTTTTTAATTCTTTTATTGGCACATTGTAGGTATACAACACAATTACATTTCTCATTGGGAATTGTACCTTTACATGATGCATCTTGGTTCTTAT